GCCAGCAGTCCAGCAAGCCAGGTTAGCCACATAGCAACCAGGGCCAGAAGTTCAGCAAACTGGGCAAACTGGGCAAGCCCCACAGGAGAGAGTACATTAGTCTTCAGGCACTGGCTGCACAGATTCAATGCTTGTTCCCGACACATGCCCCTCCGCACAGTGTATCCTTAAGTCTCAGTCCCCAGGTGTGCCTTGTGAAAGGGGGCGGGTGCTCTCCTCCCTCACAAGCCGGCTCAGTTTGCGTTGGTCTCGCCTTCTCTCTTCCCTCCTTGTTCTTGGATCAGGAGGGGGTGGTCCTTGCTCTTCTCCTGCTCCTCCCTGCCTGCAGGCCTTACTAATCCCGAAAAGCCTCGCCCAGACTGACTCTCTTGCCCTCCCCGGTTTCCTCCAAGGCCAACAGAGCTACCCTTCTCAACCTCTGTCAGCTCTTGTCGCAGCTCATTCTGATTCTGGGGAAGTTGAAGTCCACCAGGCTTAAAGTTGCCAAGGTTGGAGACCCCTGGTCCAGATGGAGCTCTGGTGGGGGACCTGTTGCTCCCATCCCTGCAAGAATCCCCCGTCTTTTCCACAGGCTCTGCTGAAGCTGCCGAGATGCCCAGCCGTTTAGCTCCTGGAGAACGCCAAGCAGGAGATGGAACGTCCCTTCCAGAGACCCCCAACCCCCAAATGGTGAGAGCCACACTCTTGAAGGCCCAGCCTAAGCAGTGGGCTGCGGTGGGATGTGCGGTGGGGGAGAAGGGTCAGCAGTGAACTGGGTCTGACGCATGGCTCCCTTCCTTCCTTCCTCTCGCAGATGTCGGCAGTCTATGCCGAACTGGAAAGCCGTCTGACTGCTGGCTTAGGAGGGAAGTTGAGTTGCCTGCCTGTGTGCCGGACATCATCCCTGGCTTCAGAGCCTGCAGGTACCTCCTCCGGTCAGAAGAGCCAAAAAGACAACTTTGGAGAATTTATTTGGGATGGAATTGGACTTGGAATTTATTAAGGGAAAACCGGAGCTTTTCTCCCTGGTTGCTTGAGGTTCAAGATCAGACGTGAGGGAACTTGCAACCGAGTTGACTTTGTAATACTGTAAAGTCCAAATAAATACTGGTTTGTAAGTGTTGGAAGAAATGTCCATCTGGGTGCAGTTCCAGTTCCACTGGAAACATGGAGGCTGCTTGGAAGGATGGCTTTATGGCGAAGCAGAACGACCAAGCTATTTGATTCTGGGTAGCTGACCACACGGAGTGGGGAGTGAGATATAGTTATACCCTCTCTTGGGCCTTGCAAGAAACGTGTCAGACTCCCAGGGGGCAATGCGTGGGTCCAGCAAACCTTATAGGCTGTCTGTGTCCTAGGCTTGGTTGAATCTTGCTGGGTGCTGGGGGGAGGGGGGGATTCAGCAGGTTCGGACTGGTTTGGGCGAACCGGATGTTAAATTTACACCTGGTTCGCTGAACCAGTAGTTGAACCGACCGGCTGGCCCTGCCCGCCCTGATCTTCCCCTCCCAGGAGTCTCCACATGGCCCATTTTGGATGCAGGTAAGTGCAGGGTCTGCATGGAAGCTCTGGGAGGGCGAAAAATGGGCCTTCCGGAAGTCCAGAAATGGGCCTGTTTCCAGCTTCCAGGGGGCCTCCGGACCCTGAGGGAGGCCAGTTATGCCCTCCCAGAGGCTTGGGGGGAGCCTCTGAACCTTGGTAGGCCACACCTACCATGTCCTTGCCCACCCACCAGCTGGACAGCGATCCCACCCCTGGCTGAGTGGTGTGATGAAGGGGCTTTGGGCAATTCCTATTATGGCTTAATAATGGCTTGGTCCTGGTTTGGATCTTGAGTGAGGGCTACTCCTACCACCCTGGAGCTGAAGGTCTTTTATCTTGTAGATAAGATGTCCTTTGTCTTTCTGGGGCTATTAACAAAGGTGGGGGTTGCTTTCCAAGAGGTATAATATTCTGCCTTTTTAATACTTCCTAGAATATTTCATTCTCCTACGAGAGGGGTGGGTGCTAACTTTCTAGAATAGAATCGCTGCCTTTAAAATTCAGTTAAATCCAAACATGTTCATCATAAATGCAGTCTTGAGGTTCATCCAGCAGAGGAAGAACCATCCTATTTTTCCCCCAAAAGGTAACACTGAAAGAAATGTCATCACTTTCTGGGTGCCACAGGTGGCA